CCCCCCCGCTTTGCGGCTGCGCATGCGCGCAGTGCCCCCTGGCCTTTTGAGCAGCAAGCGCGCTCGCACGTCCACCAACCGCGCGTTCCCAGCCGTAACGCGCAGGCGCCGCAACTGCAGCACGCCTGTTCCCCGGCCGTTCGCCGCGGGAGGCCGTCGACGGTCAACGCGCCTGCGCACACCTCCCCGAGGCTCTCACTACGCATGCGCAGATGTGACCGAGCGCGTCGGCCCCGGGCTGGGTGCGCCTGCGCAGAAGAGACGCGCGCCGGGGCGGCTGGAGCGGTTCCCTCGCAGGCGGCGCCATTTTGTGCTAGAAGCTGAGATAAAACCGGCCTGGTTCTGTGAGAAGTGGGCGGCGAAGCCAGGGTCCCTGGAATGGCGGAGACTCTGTCCAGCCTAGTCGATTCGGGTGCGGCGGGCGCAGCAGCTCTGAGCTCCGCCTCGTCGGAGACCGGGACGCGACGCCTCAGCGACCTGCGAGTGATCGACCTGCGGGCGGAGCTGAGGAAACGGAATCTGGACTCGAGCGGCAACAAGAGCGTTTTGATGGAGCGGCTGAAAAAGGTGGCGCCGGGGCTCCGGGGGCGGGCAGCGGGTGGGGGCGGAGGCCCCTGCCCGGCGTCCGTGCGCGGCCTGTTGGGCCTGGCGTTCTCGCGTCCCCTGGTTCCTCTCGGAAGCCGGCGGGGCCCGTGTTCGCATCCCAGCGCCGCATGAGGGGCGACGGAGGTGGAGAAAAATCGCGAGAGCGAAATCGGGACGCGGGTCTCGGTCGGCGGCTCTCCTCCTGCAGGCGCGGGACGTGGGCCCCGGCGCCGAGGCTCCCCTCCCGTCGCCTCCTCCCAGCCTCCATGGCCGGGAGCCCCGAGGTCCTCACTTCCTGGGCGAGGGGAAGGGACTCGGCCAAGGTCACACGGCCCCGCCGGGGTGGGCCGCGCTTGCGTTGCAGGCGGATTTACCCCGAAAACGTTGGCAGGGGAGGTGGGGAGGGAGGCAGGGAGCGGGGTGCACGGCTCGCCCACGCGGGCCCGGGCAGGAAGGAGCGGGGGACCCGCCTCCGAGTGTCCGCAGGAGGGGACCGTCACCCCCGGGTCCGGTGTGCGGCGGTGCAGGCAGGCGGCGGGGCCTTGGGGCGGCTTACGTAAGGGCAGCGGCCTTGGCGGGACGCGCGGCGGCGGCGGCGGGTCGGGCCCCGGGTCGCCCCCGCGGGTGTCTAATCGTGCTGGGGCCCCGCAGGCGCCGCGGGGAGAGCTGTTAGGGCCCTTCCCTGCGCCACGGGTTCCTGCTGGCCCCGCGTTGTCCTTAGTCCCGTTGGTCCCCTTTCCTGCAGGTCAGCGTTAGTTCTCCGCGTCCCCAGCGATGTCCTTAGTCCCGTCAGTCCCTTTCCCTGCAGGTCACGTTAGTTTCTTTCCTTGCAGGTCGAGCCCTTCTGCTTCCCCAACGATTTCTTTAGTCCCGTCAGTCCCTTTCCCTGCAGGTCAGCCTTAGTACTTTTCTGCTTCCAAAATGATTTCCTTAGTCCTCTCGGTCCCTTGCCCTGCAGGTCATTGTGGCGGCTCTTCTGCTTCCCCTGTTTTCCTTAGTCCTGACGGGCCCTTTCTCTGCAGGTCAACATGAGTGGTTTTCTGCTTCTCCACCGCTGTCCTTAGTTCTGTGGGTTCCTTCCTCTGCAGGTCAGCGTTAGTGCTTTTTGTTGCTTCCCTTGTGTTTTCCTTAGTCCTGTCGGTTTCTTTCTCTGCATTTCTCCACGAGGCTACTCTTGATCTGGACCTCTCCCACGTACTCTTCTCAGCCTCGCCACCTACCTCACACCTCCTGCAAACAGGGAGGCTGCAGTGACTTACTGCAACTTCGTGGCTCCCAAACAAGTAAAGATGTGGGCTTTATTATTAATCGCTTCTAACAAGAAGTCAAGATTATTTTCTGTTTTCCTAATGGGGAAACTCAGGCTCAAAAGTGGGTACTTGACACGCTCAGAGTCACTTGGGCGGTCCTGAAAGTCAGCCTTGTATTCTCTGCAGATGCTCACTCTCTTCATTCACATAGGCAGGAAGTTCCTTGGTCTCACCTGGAGGAAATTGAAACAGGGCGAGGTGGTGATGGTCTACTGTTTTCACCACCAGGGCCTCCCTTCATCCGTGTCAGGTCGAGGGGCTATTTTTCCCTAGGCCATAGGCCTGAAGGCTGTTACAGTGGCATTGAACTCAACTTCCTGTTGGGCTGGTGGCTGAGGCTGGTTTGTGACTTAAGGAATCTTCACTCAGAGCACATTTCTCTTCTCCTTCCTTTTGGTTTCTGAGGGATGTGGCCTCAGTACAGAAAGACCAGAAGCCCATGCATCCATCTGCTCCCCTGCCCTAGCAAGTCTGGAATCGCTGATCTCCCCCTTGCCCCCACTGTGTCATCCAGTCGGTGTTTCTTGGTTTATTTTTCCAGGAAAGGCTAAAGAGCGGAAGGTGGAGAGAACACACGCAGCTTAATTTTTGCTGAGGCCTATTAGGATGATGTGCAGTTCCTCTGGGGATAGTGCTGTCAACATGTACCCAGGGGAGACGCAGGGTGAAAGGGAACACCAGCCGCCTGGGGCAGTTCTGTTTTCCTGGTGATGGTTTAGAATTGTCTGTCCCCAGGAAAAGGGCAGGGACTTTTCTGGTTGTACTTTTCCTTGATCCCAAGGTAGAACTCCAGTTCTTCCTCTCGGCTTCTAGGGCAGGAAAGATTTTCTGTGCTGCTTCTACTACAGATTAAATGTGTAATTCTCAGGCCCTATCCTCAAGTCACATTTACCAAGCTGAAAAACTGCTGAGAATCTTGGAGGGTTCCAAAAAGTTACCCGTTAAAACACAGTATTTGAAAGGAGCTTAAATAAAACTAGTGCTCATGGGATGATGCAGTAAAGAGGGAAAAGTTGTCAGTGAAACTAAACATGAAGTTTCAGTGTCGAGGGAGTCGTCATTGATATGTGCGGAGTGCCTGATCAGTATTGTGTGTGGGATCTGTTGAAGGGAATAGCAGATTCTTGGGACGGGAGGCCAGACTCACCAAAAATTCCTTACAATCGAATGTTCCTTGAGGCAGGGTCACCTAGTCGCTGAGGTTAAGGTCCTTCTTGAGGCACAAGTCACCTAGTGGCTGAGGGTAAGGTCCCTCTAGTCAGTCGGGGATATATGTGATCATGATTGGTTGGTGACCCATATGTCATGTCTGGTTCCATGCCTGACACTCGTAGGCTCTCAGCCAGCGAGTGGACAATGTTCTGTCCAAACAGTGCGGGGATGGAGTGGAAGGGGGTCACGGGAATGTTAAACAACAGGGTGCTGGGTGAAGTCATAAAATGCTGGAGAGCGTGCCTTCCTCTATGTGAGTTCTTTTGGGCCCAGGAATAGGATAAGACAGATAAGCTGCTTGCTGAGTACTAGCTTCCCTTGGATAATAGAGCCCTTGCAGCAGCCTTACAGGGTTAATACTGTTATTAGCCTGTGTTCCAGAGAACAAAACAAAACAATTAAGTAAATCTCCCTGAGCGCACACAGCTAGGAACAGGCAGTTAGTCAGGCTCCTTATCTCTTACTCCAACCTAGAGCACGGGACAAGTGGACAGAAGATGCCAGCAGTTCTAGATCAGCAGCAGCTATGTCCTTAAAGATGTACTTTTTCTTACCAGAAGGCTCTGTTTTCATTTTTTTTAAAGAAAGATTTTTCACTATAGGGCGCGTTGCTTGCCAGTGAGATAGAAACTGAGAAATCCCCCCCCCCCCAAGAACAGCCATGCCGCAATCCTGGCATGAATTTTAAGCCTCTAGGTCCGGGACTCTAACCAAGGCTGACTACATGGGAGTCTAGTAATGTAACCATTACGCCACCTGCTGGTCCCGTTACCAAAAAGCTCTGTGAATCAGCCTGTGTGCTGTTTTGGCTCACTTTATTTTATCTTTCCTTTAGGCCATCGAAGATGAAGGTGGTAATCCTGATGAAATTGAAATTACCTCCGACGGAAACAAGAAAACATCAAAGAGATCCAGCAAAGGTATTGGGGTTTGTAAGCATGTCTTATGTTAAGAGCTTTCTTCAAAACGACTTCATGTACTTGACTGTTGTGGACTCGTGGACCAAAACCACCCTCAGAGCAGCTTCTCTCCAAGATCCTCAGTAGCTCTTTACTTCTGCCCCCTTTTTTTTTTTTTTCTCAGAAGTTTTTTGCTATAGGACGCGTGTGCTCGCCAGAAAGACAGATAGAGACACAGGACAGAAAGCAAGAATCATCCCCCCCCCCCCCCCGGGGTATGACCATGCCATAATCCCTTCTCCTCCATTCTTCTCTTGTAATCTTGGGCATGCATGCACACGTGCTCAGCGTGAGTTTAAGCCACTGGGTCTGGGACTCAGACCGCAGTCGACTACATGGGAGTGCAGCGATGTAGCTATTATGCCATCTGCTTGTCCCTTTGCTGCTTTTGAATTTTTATTTATTTAATTTTGGACAGGTTTTTGCTATAGGGTGCATTCGCTCGCAGAAAGATAGAGACAGAAAGTGGGGAAATCACCCCCCCAGGGGGGATGGCCACACCATAATCCCTTCTCTTATTTCTCCTCTTCGGATCTTGGGCATGCACGCATGCACATGCTCCTGGCGGGCATGCACGCATGCGCATGCTCCTGGCGTGAGTTTAAGCCACGAGGTCCAGGACTTGAACCATGGTCAACTACATGGGAGTCCAGTGACATAACCATTACACCAACTACTGGTCTCGCCTTCACAACTTTTTTTAAAAAAACTTTTTTTACTGTGGTACCTGGCAGTTCCAACAGAAGAAGGAAAGTAGCCTTTGCTCATTACCTGCTGTAGATTTGTTAGCACCCCTTGTTTATCAAGATAGTGTTTAGGACTGCCTGAGTCTCCTAGTGTTCTTTTTTTGTTTATTTGTTTTTTTTTTTTTTTTTTTTTTTTTGGTTTTTTTGGGAAGTTTTTTGCTATAGGGCGCGTGCGCTCGCCAGACAGACAGAGAGAGACAGAAAGCGAGAAATCACCCCCCAGGGGGGATGGCCACGCCTCAATCCCTTCTCTTCCATTCTCCTCTCAGGATCTTGGGCAGGCACGCACACATGCCTGGCGTGAGTTCTAAGCCTCCGGGTCTGGGACGTGAACCGTGGTTGACTACGTGGGAGTCCAGCGACATAGCCATTACGCTAACTGCTGGTTCCCAGTCTCCTAGTGTTCTGACTCACAAAAATAACTTCCCTTTCAGTGCCACCTGCCAAAACAGGATTATACAGACATTCTTCCAAAAACTGTATAGCACTTGACCCAAATCTCCTCTCTTGTCTTCCCTCCTTCCCTCATTGCACCCTGCGCGGATTTTAGCTAGTCCCCAAAGCAGTTTACTCTCTGGCCCCTCTGTTCCCTACCCATACGCTCTGCCCACTTTTCTCCCCATCTGTCTGTGTTCAAGGTTTAGCCCTTCAGGAGACAATGTCTGATCCCACCAGTAGCACCTTAATTTTCCTGAGGTCCTCTTCACTCCTGTGGCCTAGTTCCTTAGGCCTCAATTGAGTGTTTATCCCTATCTTGTGTCACAATCAGATTGTTAAGGGTAGAGATTGCATCTTCTAGCTGTCCTTCCCCTTTAGTGGTTCAACTCAGTAACGCTCAACATTTTAAGAAAGAGAAGCAGCTGGGGCTGGTAGGGTGGTTGGGGTGCTGGACTTTTACACACAACCGACTGTGGTTCAAGTCCCAGACCTGGAGGCTTGCTTTTTTAGTTTCTCTTTCTCTCACTCTATCTTTGGTCAAATAAAAATAAATTTTTTAAAAAGAAGAAGGATAAGCAGCTAAGCTAAACTGGGATCTGGACTGTTCTGAAAGTTCTCTTGGTAATTGGTGACCTTGTTGCTCAGGCCCCAAAGTTAAGTGAAATACATTGCTTGTCTGGTGGTAAAGAATTGGATGGAAAATGTCTGCAAGGCAGGCCCCAGCGTCAGCCGCGCTGTCATGGGGAGCCCTGGGAGAGCAGCAGCCAGGGCTTCCCTCTGCAGTGAGGTCCCATCTGTGGTCCACAATACCTTAGCGTTTCCGGCCTTGATTAAGTGGGGGGGATGTGGAGGCAGAATATAGGAAAATCATTGGAAAAGATGGTGGAAATAGCAAATGGGTTGTTTTTTCTTTCTTTTTTTTTTTTTTTAAATTAAAAACTATTTCTGATTCTTTTTAAACGCATCTCACTAAATCACTCTCCTGTAGTAGCCTGGACTACTGGCTGCATCACTGTCCCTGCCTTTAAGGGTGGGCCAGGACTCTAGCTCAGGCCTCCTTGTGGCCTCAACCTGCAAAGCATTGTCAACTAGTACACACTCCCATGGCTGTGCCCCTTTTCTTTTCTTTTTCTTTTTTCTTTTTTTGATAAAAACAAAAGGTACTTATGGGGCCGGCAAGTGGCGTGGTGGTTAAAGGCACTAGACTCCCACATGGCCGACCACAGTTCAAGTCTCGGACCTGGTGGCTTGCTTTCTCACTTTCTCTCTCTCTCTGTCTCTCTCTGATCAAACTGAAAAATAATGATATAATAAATAAAGTTAAATAAAATAATTCTTTAAAAAAAGATACTTAAATCTTTGTTTTTTATGTACATTAAGTAAACACTAGAAGTTTCTTCCCATTCAGGAGTGACACAAGACATACACACGTATACATACACTTGAACAGGGTCTTCACGCTGCCATCCTTCTCCAGCCCACGGACATAGGAATTCTAAGAGGCCTAGGACACTATTCTGGAGCCTTCCCATGTCTCCAGCCATGCCTCGTCTGCCTCTGTCACCAAGGCTGGGCTGCTGTGTTTTTTTTTTTTTTTTTTTTTTTTTTTTTTTTTTTTTTTTTTTTCATTTTTACTCTTCTTGGGGCAAGTATTCATCTGTATTTCCCAGCAGGTAAAGTTTTCCATTTCTTCCGAGATCAGGCAGTATCTGATAATTGGCCATTTGTATTTTCTAAATTGCCTTTGTATGCCCTTTGGCCATTTCTCTCGCCAGTCTGGCATTTGAGTTCAATTGTTTTGCCGTGTTAGCTTATGTGTTCTTTAAAAGACCCTCTGAGGACCGGGTGCATGTGCGTGCGTGCCCAAGATCCCAAGAGGAGAAGGGGATTGCGGCATGACCATCCCCCCCCGGGGGGGGGTGATTTCTCGCTTTCTGTCTCTATGTCTCTGTCTGTCTGTCTGGTGAGTGCACACCCCCTATAGTGAAAACCTCCCCCCCAAAAATAAAAATGAAAATAATAAAAGACCCTCTGCTTTAATGTCATTAAAAAATTCCTAAATTGGGACCAGCAGTTAGCATAATGGCTATGTCACTGGACTCTCATGTAGTCGACCGCTATTCGAGTCCCGGACCTGGTGGCTTAAACTCAACGCTGGGCGCGTGTGTGTATGTGTGTGTGTGTGTGTGTTCCCAAGATCCTGAGAGGAGAATGGAGGAGAAGGGATTGTGGCATGGCCGTCCCCTCTGGGGGCTGATTTCTTGCTTACTGTCTTTCTGTCTTCCTGGCGAGTACACACGCCCTATAGCAAAAACTTCTCCAAAAGAAAATATTTTTAAAAAATTCCTAAATTGTAGAATAATATTCATGGTATTATTTTTACAAATGAATGTTTAACTTTTCTGTAATTTTTTTTTTTTTTTTTGCATGAGGTATGAGGTAGTTAAGAGATCAAGATGTGAAGCATTTCTGTCATCAGAAAGATTGTTCAAGGGAACCAGCAGTTAGCGTAATGGCTATGTCGCTGGACTCCCACGCAGTTGATCGCGGTTCATGTCCTGGACCCGGTGGCTTAAAACTCACGCTGGGCGCGTGTGCGTGCGTGCCCAAGATCCTGAGAGGAGAACGGAGGAGAAGGGATTGAGGCGTGACCATCCCCCCTGGGGGGTGATTTCTCGCTTTCTGTCTCTGTGTCTCTCTCTCTCTGTCTGTCTGGCGAGCGCACACGCCCTATAGCGAAAACCTCTTCCAAAAAAAAAAAAAAGAGAAAGATTGTTTAAGCCCTTTCCCATTCACTCACCCCAGCAAAAACAAAATACTGTTGTGATTATTTTCCCTGTAGGTTAGTTTTGTCTCTTGAACCACATGTAAACTAGAATAATGCAATGTGAACTTTTCTGTCTGAGTTTTGCCCCGTCCTGCTCGTCTCTCCCCCCACCCCCGGCAAAAGTAGTTTTATTCTAGAGCTTGGCTGTACATTTCCGTATTTGATAGAGCAGTTCTGTCAAATAAGCTTTACTAAATTTTCAACTACCTCATCGTTAGATTCTATCAAGATTTTAACTGAAAATAGAATGATCTGTTTAGTGGAAACTCACAATGCTTTGAATAGCAGAAAGTTTACCTCAAGTAATTTCAGCATTCTTCTACAATGATTGTATGCCACTGGTGTGTTTAGCAGACCCTCCTAAAATAGTTACCAGCAGAGTGTTTTTTGTAGTGGTGCTGTCACATAGTACAAGTTAATAGTGTTTATGATATTTGAGGACATTTTATACCTGGAGGTGCATTGTCAGCGTGTTTGCTTTCTGAGTGTTACCTAATCTTGCACTGCTGTGTTGAGGGGTTTTTTTTTTTGGTTTGTTTTTATAATTTTGCCAGAGGGCAGGTGCACTCACATACCAGGGGGTGGGGCAGGAAAGCACCATCCGTTGAGAATGGTCATGCCGCAATCCTTCCTCCTCCGAATTGCCCTCTTTTTGGAATTGGGGGCACTCACACACATGCCCAGAGTGTTTTTTCAAGTAGCGGTACATTAAGCCATGTGGGCCCAAGCCACCATGACCACCAGGCTATGGGCTAGCCCTATTTTTCTTTGTGTTGACATTTTCACACAGGAATATTGCAAGGGTAGTGCAAGGAATTCCCACATATATACTTCATTCAGAATCTCCAAATGTTAGCCTTTTACTACATTTGCTATATGCTCCCCTCACCATATATGGATACGAGTAAATATATACATCTTTTTAATTGGTTCATAATACATTATAGGTG